CCTCTATTTCAGAATCAGAAATACTTTATTAATCCCAGAGGGAAATTTGATCGTTACAGTTTCTCCAAAATATACAATATAGCAGTAGAAATATAGTAATAAAAACATTTACAGACATGTTTACTTCAACACATAAGACCATTTCCTCAACTGATTCAGAGATTTCTTCCAGAAGGAAGTGGTATCTTGGAAATTCCTGTCAGAAAACAGACTCTATGTCTGTGTCCACAGGCAAACAGTGAGAGCACTGACACTACCAGTCCGCCCCAACAGCTGGCCCGGGCTCCTCGTCCTCACCGCCGCCGACATGCAGGCTTTATGTCTCGGCTGCTGAGCTGGCAGTGGCCGGTGGAGTCCAGCAATATAGCAATATAGTCGCGAGACGGTTGCTGTCAACAGGCTGGTTTTGTCTCTCGGCTGCTGCGGCCAGCAGCAGCAGCAGTCAAGACACAAGACTGGCCTGTCGGCAGCAGCCATCTCGCCACTATATTTATATTTTTTCACCATTATCAGCTTTCGCCATAGAGCCTGTTAGCATAGCTTCCAAGCAATATGGCGAACATTAATTTTCGATTCTGGGAGTGAGTTCCCACCCACTGATCTGTGATTGGTCTGTAGCTTCAGTGGTCGAAAATATGAGGAACTAGCGTTGTAGTTTTACCCCGCTAACCACAACAGCTTCCAGTGATGCAAAAATCGTCATTTTGCATCACAGACTTAGAAATACAAAGATTTCCCATCTCAGGGGAAAATGAGGGCGGGATGCACAACCATTTAAAAATACTACCAGGTTTCTAATGATACAAAGCTTAATGCAAATGAGTGAAGTATCCCTTTAATTCAGACTTTATGTAGGTCTGAAAACACAGAAACACGTTATTCTCCCTCTTTAAAACCTCTCCGTCTTTGTTCCCGTCTTCATCCTGCGGTCTGAACCCTGCAGCCAATGGCCAGAGAGTATCAGAACGGAGACAGCTTCGGCTACATCCTGGCGTTCAGGAGGAAGGACACGTCGTCGTGGACGGTGGTCCGTGTTCCTCACGTGGAGTCTTCTCGATACGTCTACTTCAACGAGAGCCTGACGCCGTACAGCCCGTTTGAGGTGAAGATCAGGGCGTTCAACCGGCGAGGAGAGGGACCGTTCAGTCAGATTGCCGTGGTGAACTCTGCAGAGGAAGGTGAGCGAGGAGAAGATGAATCTTTAACCCTTTTCACACATCAAATCTCTTGAAAAACTCTGGAGATTTGGCTACCCGGAAGGACTTTAGGCTATGTGTGAACGCAAACAGCCGCATGTTTCGCGCGGTCTTCACCCGGAGTTTCTCCGGCCAGACCCCTAGTATTTTATCTGCAGAAAATCAAAGTGAGCTGATGTCTGAACGCGGCCGCATATACTCCGGAGATTTTCAATTCGAGTCAATGGGACCCGAGTGACGTTTATATATAGTGATCGGCTAAAGTGTCTGCACGCGACCACTACGATCTCCGTGCACGTAATTAAACGGCTGCATTCTGTTTTCTGTTCGTCAGTATGTTGTTCTCCTCTCTTTTGTGGATGTTGTCATTCCATTGGATTACACATTGCATTGATATAAAGGTAAATATTGTCATTATAACGTTGCATTATCTGTTGCTTCGGCCGCTACTTCCGCATTGTTTTTTTACGTCACGTCCTACCTCGGGAAATCCCCCGCGCCCCCTCCCCTTTGACAGGGATAGTCCCCCGCTGTGAGGAGCATATGTGAACGGCTAGGTCAGGAGAATCTCCGGAGAAGTCCTCCTGTAATTATCTAGATATTATCCGGAGTGCATATGTGAAAACGGCTTTTATGTTTTATGTTTACATCTCAGAGCATCAGGAGGCTCAGCAGGCGAAACCCCCCCCATCACTCCCCCTGTTTGTTTTAATGTTTCTTTAAGATGTAAACATTTATTTAACACAGAGGAGAGAACTTGAAGGTTTGAGAGTTTGTCTCCAGCTGCAGTGTCTCCTCTCACCACCAGAGGGCGCCCTCACCTCTCAGTAGATACACCACACACCTGTAGATTCACTGAAGGTCCAATAAAACATGGTGTCTCCTCCCCCCTCCTCCCCCCCTCAGAGCCCACGGTGGGACCCTCCAGCATCAACGCCACGGCTCTGACCGCCTTCGAGATCCAGGTGTTCTGGGAGCCCGTCCAGCAGCTTAGCGCCAATGGAATCCTGCGAGGATACGAGGTGAGGAGACGCAGGATTACACACACACACACATCTCACACACCACACATACACATACACACACACACACACCTCACACACACACACCTCACACACACCTCACACACACACACACACACACACACACACACACACACACACACATCACACACACCACACACACACACTCTCTCACACACACACACACACACCACACACACCTGGTGATACAAAGCTGAGACTGCTGTTTCAGATGTTGATAACTGGTCTCATATCTGGCAAACCGAGGGGCGTCCAAAACGGTCGTGTGGGGGTGCCTTAAAACCGCCTACCTTCTCTGGTCCAAACAAATCCAGAGCATTCAGGACCAGAATCTAAAGTTAGAAGGAGGACATACTGGCTGCTGCATTGTTGTCAGAGAAGCCAGCACTTCAACATAGCATGTTTCCTTAATGTCTGATCAGAGAGTAAGATCACTTTATTATCTCACTCACTACACATCTCACTGATTGGACCTTTAACTGATAATAAGAATCATATTCAGTTTGTAAGTATGAGTTTACCTTCACTGTCATAGATTTAAAGACACAAAGCAGAGTTTGATCTCCAGTGAAACCGTTTTTTATCTGTTGTTATTGTAACAGTCCTCTAACCTGAAGTCAAAGTCCTCATCACTTCATTATTTTATTTATGAGTCCGATTAAATTTATCGTCCTCACTCTGTAAACTTTATGATTTAAATCCAAAGATTGTTTTTGCTGTCAGCAGATTTACATCAGTTTCTCGTGTGTGTGTGTGTGTGTGTGTGTGTGTGTGTGTGTGTGTGTGTGTGTGTGTGTGTGTGTGTGTGTGTGTGTGTGTGTGTGTGTGTGTGTGTGTGTGTGTGTGTGTGTGTGTGTGTGTGTTTAGATCCGGTACTGGCGGCAGCACGAGCGTGAAGCGGCGGCAGATCGAGTGAGGACAGCGGGACTCGAGACGTCAGCCCGAGTGTCCGGACTCAGACCCAGCACTCGGTACCACGTCGCCGTCCTGGCCTACAACAGCGCAGGCACGGGGCCACCCTCGCCACGCACCACTGTCACCACCAGGAAACCCCGTACGTCTGCACACACACACACACACACACACACACACACACACACACACACACACACACACACACACACACACACACACACGATATAACATGACATCACGATGTCTGATTGACCCTAAAAAGGTCAAGAGCAGGATTTGAACTTCCTCCAGCTGCAGAGCTCAGTTAGCCACACGGCTATCGGTGCTATCAGCTAGCTAAGCCCAACGTCCACCTATCAGGACAGGGTTGGTGTTAGCAATCTCCGTTAGCCCTGCAGCTAGCTCCAGGCACCCCGGGGGGACCCCAACAGAATCCCCGCTCAGCTCTCTCATCCCGGTCCAGGTCTGACTCCTCTCCTCTAATCTCCACTGATTATAAAAGGAGAACTGAACAAACTTCACACTGAGCCCAACGGAGAGGGCCTCATGTCAATCAAGGTCGTTTGAAGGAGGTTAGCTATGTGGGCGTGACCGTGTTGAATGTTCTGCATGAGACGTCACACCTGCAGACTTCCCTCTCTCTCTCTTTCTCTCTCTCTCATGCACTCGAGCTTGTGATGGTGATTGAATACTTTGCATAAAAGTGAGGTCGGGAAATATGCTTTGGCGGCCACAATCATTCGCTTGTCTATTTCGTCAGTGTGTCTTTTCGAGCTCTTGATTAAAGGAAGAATATGAGATTCAAATGTAAAATCAAGAATATCCTCTGAAAATAACTCAGTGAATCATGACTGTCTACAAAGGGTGTAACATCCGAGTCCCACTGTCGGTGATGTTTTCCGAGTTTTCCAGAGTCCTATCTTCAGTTTGTTTACATCGAGACGGCCGGCTGACTCCTCCCCTTGCATATAAAAGTTGTTCATTTGAGGGACTAGAGAAAAGAAGAACAACATACTGTACTCACTGCTTAACTGTGTTTCTAGATCACGCTCATTTCAGGTAAATTTACATGCAGTGTGAAGATACTAATATACATAATATTCTTCCTTTAACTTAAAGTTTATCAAAGGACAAAAGCCTCATGAGGTGAAACTCTGAAGGTAATAAATATCACACACACACACACCGACCTCAGGCTAAACCTGTTACCCGGGATGTCCTGTTAGTCACACGGCGGGGTTAAATAACCTGTGTAATCTGATACATGTTATATCACTTAGCCTGGGGGGGGGAGGTTCTTAACTCAGGAAGCAGGGTGACATGAGATCACCTACCTGAGCTCACCTGGAGACTGAGCGTTCCCTCCTCCACCTGTCCACAGATTGCTCTCTGTACTCACCTGTAAAGTTTGTTTCAAACAGCTGATTGGAGCTGGACACATCACAGACAGAATAGAGTTTATAAAGAAGACGCATACTAAAAGTTATTTAACCACTTCACTGCAAGAAAAATGAATCAAGAAGGCGACTGGTGTATCGGGTAACGCTCTCTTCAGGGCGCCCTGGTTACGGCGCTGAAGCAGCGTTAAAGCTTTAAAGGATCAGAGAATGTTTACCTTTTAAAATCTGTATTTCCTCTTCCTGTTCTAATTGTCTGATGACTCCCTGCCTCAGGGGCAAAAAGCCAACGATCCAATCAGATTCATCCAGGCGTTATGTCCCGCCTCCTATCCATACGTACCTGGCAAGGGACGAACCACGATCAGGAAGGAGGTTCCCAGTGGCATGGTGGGCGTGACCTTTACGACCACATGATCCTCAAAGAGGGGGACTGCGTCGGATCAATAACGTATCTCTCTGTTCTGATTGGTTCTTTTCTGTTACTCTCCACGTTCAGTTTCATGAGGACTTTAAATTCTGGAGTCCGACCCCGGAACACGAGATGAATTCACTCACCCTCCCAGAGCAGCAGATTGAAGGGCCGTAGACTGAGGAACGGTTTGCAGAGTTTCTATGCTGCAGACATTTGAACGATGAGCTGTGTCTCCGTACACTTTGTGATTTCGTGACAGTAACGTTTTAAATAAAGTTTAAAGTCACAGGGTTAGGGCAGGCTGCGAGTAGAGTGGCGTGCAAACTGTACTGTCCCTTTAACTCTTTATCCTCTCAGAGCCACGTTTAGAAATGTGTTTGAAATCACGTCTGTGTTTCTGTTCCAGCTCCCAATCGTCGCCCAGGTAACGTGTCGTGGAAGACTGATGCATCGTGGGTAACGATGAGGTGGGACCACGTGAAGGCGATGCACAACGAGTCCGCTGTGCTTGGATACAAAGTGAGTCATTCAACACGCCGCGAAAACTCTTTCCAATGTGACACCACTCTTTCCACGTGTCCTCACGGCCCGCCAGCATCCAATAAAGCATCTCCTCCAATGACAGCTGGGCTCGTCTCCAGCCCCCTGCAACCCCAAACGGGAAAAGTGGTTTATATAAAGGATGAAGCTGATCGGGCGCTGCGTCACTTTATTATCTCGTCCTCACCGTGTGAGAGGTGTGTGTGTGTGAGTTGTGTGTGTGTGTGAGGTGTGTGAGAGTGTTACATAATAACAGAATCAAAGATCAGGATTATCAGAGTATTAAAGATCAGCTCCTCTGTTCGAGACGATAACCGTGACTCAGTTTACAGATCGCTTCAAGAAGACGCTGCAAGACTGGGGGGGTTGTTTATAGGCAGAAGTGATACTGGGTTATTGAATGTTTCTGGGGAAAAAAAGAAAAATGTTGACTGTATCCTAATTGCACTGTATGTGTTGAATTTGCTTTAATAAAATATGTTGAAAAAGAAAAAAAGAAGACGCTACAAAAATTAAACTTTTAAAAATTCACTAAACTCTGAAATCTATTCCCACCTGTGTGTGTGTGTGTGTGTGTGTGTGTGTGTGTGTGTGTGTGTGTCTCTCAGGTCCTGTACAAACATGAGGGTCTGACGTCTCTGAAGGTTCTGGATAAGTCAAAGACGGCCGTGACCTTGCCACTGCCCAAAGACAACGGTTACGTGGTCCTGGAGATCCGGTCATGGGGGGAGGGCGGGGACGGACCGGCACACGAGATTATCGTGTCCCGGGACTCAGGTAACACACACACACACACACACACACACACACACACACACACACACACAACTCACTCTCTCACACACACACACTCACACACACAGAGACACACACACACAAACATGCACACACAGACACACACACACACAACTCACTCTCTCACACACACACACACACACAACTCACTCTCACACACACACACACACACACACACACACACACACACACACACACACACACACACACACATAAACTATAAAACAATAAAGATGACATGGCACTGATTTGTATACGTATCAGATGTAGACTCTTTGTCTAGCAAACAGTTGCTGACAACATATGGTTGGCTCCTGTCCAAACATAGATCTGCTACAATTTACATGTTTCACCATATAAGGTTACAGCTTCACAGACCCAAAAGAAGAATTACCCTAAGATAGTTGACACAATTTAAAGATATGTCCACAAAATTATCAAGATGAATGAATCCATGAAAATACGTACTAACAATACCTGAGGAAGTCATCCTGTGTAGGTTGTGATCTAAAGTTGTGGGTCAAAGGTCGTTCTTAGAGAAGAGAAACTTCGTCTTTATCTCAGAGATAAAAACATCAGATATCGATCATAAACATGTCAGCGGTGACAGTCCTGCATGCTTTTATGTCTTTATAGAGGTAACAGAGCTCTCTACAATGTTTAGAATTTAGACTGCAGTACCCATTTTAAACACTAGGGGTCAGAGTCACATACTCCTAACCCACCAAAGTATGGCGTTTGAAATCAGAATGGCCCTTTTTCAAACCAAACCCTACACCCTCCCCCTCCGTGACGGAGTGCACTCTGTTGGAAGTCACACTCTCAGCTGAATGAAGTCTCCTTCATCAAGGTGTAGGGTAGAAATACAGCGGCAGGCTTTGGGACAAACTTCCCTCTCTCACACGGAAACAGGAACTGTGTGTTACCATGGTTACTCAGGGGCATCTTGCGGGAACAGCTTTTTTTTGTAGCTAATGCATTCTGTAAAAATATTTATGTAGCCTAGATTCTTCTTCTTTAGTTATATTAGTGTAGACTTATAACAAAACTATTAGATTGAGCCTACATTGTTTATTGTAATTTATAATTTAAGTTAATTTATTGTAAATTTTAGAACAGGGTGTCCTAAATGAATGCAAAGACAAGGAGACTATTGTTGAACATCAGAGCAGCAAAAAGTGTATTTTTTTAATTTTTTTAATTGAGATTTCACAAAGACATAAAAAGTAGAAAAATAAGAAATAAATATTAACAGCAACATGATTTGATATTCTTTTGTTACAGTCCCTGTAAATATAAAACACTTTACAATAAATAAATATAAATTTGATCCTCAGTACACATTTGAAGTAGTTAACGTCTGTATGACGATATTAAATGTCTATCTTAGTTGGAGCAGTGTTTGAACTCACAGGTTGCTGTCTCCATGACAACCGGACACAATAGGCGTTGCACGTGATCCGAAAGTCGGCATACCTGCAGACTCGCTGGTGGAGGGTTTTATAACCCACTACCACTCCCCGCTAGTTGGTTTGGGACGGACTTAATATGGCGGACCCTCTGCGGGGACGCACAAACGGAGGGGTAGTGGGTAGGGAGAGGGTGTAGTGGCTGGTTTGAAAAAGGGCCAGAACGATTCTAGGGTAACTGCTTTTAAAGTCCTCCATACTGTCACATGGATGGTGTTGTGTTCCATGGACTGTCAGGAACCCGTTTGAGCGCCAGATCTTCTGTCCAGTCCAGCGCTTTAATCCACAGCGGCGAGGTTCACTGACCAGCTGATGTGATTCTAAAGATAGATGTTTGTTTGGATTAAGAAGCAGAAAATCAGAGCGGGATATGTCAGTGTGTTTTACTTCAACCTTTTTGCTGACTACTTCTTCTTCTCTCTGACAGGAACTGGTATGATGGTGCAGAACGAAGCCCCGCCGACACAGCCCAGCCTCCTGCACCTTCTCTCTGGATTGGTCCTCCTCTCTCTTGTGTCATTGTCAGGCCTGTGAGCTCGGCCAATCAGTGGACTTTTTACTTTTAACGGCATGAAACTAAACTAAAGCTCCTCTCTGTGTGTGTCAGCCTGAGTTAGGGATGCTGGGGGGGGGGTTAATGAGGGTGGGGAAGGTTGCAGCACTGCAGGGATTCACGTCTTTCTTTTTTATATCAAAAACAAAACAAGTGACGTGTTTTTTTTAGGGAGGTTTTAATGGGGGGGGGGGGGGGGTCAGCTCTGTGTGTTTGTGTGTATGTGTCAATTAAACCATGCCTTATGGGGACCATCACATCCATGTCTCAATGTCTCACACTGACGTCGTCTCTCAGACACACTCACAGCCTGCAGCTGTTAATAATATGTGTGTGTCGGTGAACACACAGGACAGGTGTGTGTGTGTATGTTCACTCTGACAGCTACTCCACTGCTCAGATTTAAAAGGTCGGGGATTCCTAAATCCAGCTTTTATTTGTGTGTAAGTCACACATTCCCACCAAACGTACCAGGAACTTTGTGTCCCAGCGTCAAAATCTGAGAAAGATAAAACAAATATCTTCTTAGTCCCCAGGGTCGTCACAATACTAAAATTTTAAACTTTGATATGATTCCAGTTCAAAACAAACGATGCTGATACCTGTTAGTGACAACAACAATAGACGTCCCTGGCACCTTGTATTGGGTGAATAATGGTTCCTGCACAATGTCTAAAATTGCACAAAATCATGAGCAACATTTAAACCTTTTTGTGCACAAAGACATAAATACAGACGTGTAAAAACCTAAAATGTCATCATGATGGATGTGAGTGAGATAAGAGACACAAAGACCAACAGTCTTCAGTAAAAGTGTAGTGGCAACAATGTCTACAGCTGATTTAGAAACTCAACAGCTGATTGGACAAACAACTTCAGATATCCGTTTGATTTGAGCCTCCAAACAGAAGTGAACCTCCTCCCTGTCTGCAGAAGTCTAAACTCTGCTGCAGAGGGTGCTGAGGGTCTTCCAGGTCTTTCCTGTAATCTCTCTGTATGCAGACGACTCTGCTCAGTGTGAACACATGACACATGACACACATGTTAACATCTGTAAGCTGTGAGTCTACAGGAACATGTCGCATGTCCACATGAATGTTTAGAGTTTGTATATTTATTTCTTTGTTTACTCGTGTGGTGCCTGCAGTGTGTAAAACCTGTGATCAATGTTATCAGGGTTTATTTATCTCTTTGTGACGATAAGAACGAGGTCTCAACAGTAAACACAGTCGTATATCGCCCTCCTGTCAGCCTCTATCAGGCTCTATCAGCTCTTACATCATGTTCGTCTGGCTGCAGGTAACAGGAAGGATGTGACCTCTGACCTGTGTCTCATGTAACACACACACACACACACACACACACACACACACACACACACACACACACACACACATTCACGTCCAGATATCACTGTTTGTCTCTTTTGTTGCCTTATTTTACTCCTAATGGTTTAAAGGTTTTTAGTTCCTCCAAGTGTTAGAAAGGATCAGATCCATGCTCAGAGTCAGAAACAAGCCACAAACATGTTCCTTTCTCCTAAAATATGAGCTGAATCCTCCCTGACTTTAAAGAAACTTCAAATGTCTTCTTTGGTTCTGTTAAAAAGCTAGCAGCTCCTCTAAAGAGGAAGACTCTAGTGGACACTGGAGGAACTGCAGCTGTAAAGTTGGACATTTTAACATGGGGCTCTATGGGGACTGACTCACCTCAGGAGACACTGGAGGAACTGCAGTTTTTTGGCCCTTATACATGGCTTTGAGTTAAAAGCCTTATCTTAGAATAAATCCAACACTAATGTTAAAATCTTTTAGAATATCTCGGTTTAAAAACGGTTTTAATAGCCATTGTTTTAAATTGCTGACGTGTTGCAGCTGTACAGTCTCCACAGGTTCACGTCCTCTGTGTGTACACGAGTCTTTAAGAACCAAAACACACTAAGACTCACACATCATCAAATCCGACAACTTATAAACATCTGAACGGTAATAAAAATATGATATCAGGAAGATTCATCTGAGTTTGTTTGTGACGTGAGCATGTTTCCAGCTCACCTGTTTTAAAGAAGTTTACAAAGAGGAAGAAAACGCTCCTAAAGGTTAAAGATCACGTCTCTGTGGAGTCGGACTGGATTCTGTGTTTGAAGGAGTCGGTCTGGATTCTGTGTTTGAAGGAGTCAGTCTGGATTCTGTGTTTGAAGGAGTTGGACTGGATTCTGTGTTTGAAGGAGTTGGACTGGATTCTGTGTTTGAAGGAGCCGGACTGGATTCTGTTTGAAGGAGCCGGACTGGATTCTGTGTTTGAAGGACTCTGTACAGTATCTACATCTGTTGACGGTCTGGACAACGTGTTGACCTGTGTAATTCAGTGTTTTATATTTTTTTACTTTGCAGGTGGTTGAATGATGGACCACTTGATCTTACCATGATGTGTTTTATTTTTCGGTGCATTTTGTGCTTCATGATCAAAACACCAAAACGTAGGGTTAGCTAACGTAACGTGGGACGCAAACTTGATTGAAGTGATTATTAAATAAATGTGAATTCATGTTTTGCAGCTCAGAAACGTTGAACCTGTCTCGTCGTCTCCGCCGCACTCCAGATGTCTGAGAAGTTTTCAGATTTTGTGTTTTTGTGCTTTTCTCTGTACAAAGTGTGTGTTTGTAATGCTGCCTTTAGTGTTCATGAGGAGACATCGTCTCTCTGAGAGTCTGAATGATGAACGCTGACTGTAAATATTATTTAAAATAAACACCTTGGGATTGTATTAAAGTTGTGTCTCATTTTATTTACCTCTTTGTGAACTCGGGGGGGCTCATTGCATTTAAAGAGACACACACACACCAAAACGGAGCATTCTGAGAGAGCTGGTTTATACAGGGTCACAAACCTCCTCTGGTGCTTGATTCATGTTATATTTTGACCAAAGCACAGCACAGATGTTTCACGACCACGGGACTGTTGGAAAAGGTGGAAAAGGGGGATGATATGTCCTCCTAAACCATCTTGTGTCCTCTGCTCCCTTTATGTGGAGTCCCACAAGAGTCAATTCTGGGTCCACTCTTATTCTCTTTATGTACGTTACCCTCAGGTGATCTGCCCACCTGTATCACCTCCGACCGCTGCTGCGCGGGCGACACACAGCTGTGTTCATTCAAACCAAACACCTCAACAACCTGAGACCAAGACCATTAGAGTATGACAACACTACCGCCGCTGCCAAGAAGTCAGATCTAAAGTTTCTGACAGATGGTTGCTTAAACTATGTTTTATAAATAATGTCTGTGATTGCATTTTGTGTTTGTGTGATTTCTGTTGGTTTGTGTGTGTGTGTGTGTGCTTGTCATCAGGCTGTGACTATGTGAAGCACTCTGTTACTGTTTGTTTGAAAAGTTTGTTCTGATCTTTAAATCTGATTAGATAATATTTGAGATTTCGATTGATCAGCGAGGACACGTGAAGGTCGAGCAGATCCCGTCAGGAAGCTTGAAGGTTCAGTAGTAATAATCTCTAATCATTATATCCTGTCATTAATCGCACATGGTGACGTGGAGTTGTTTTCTGTCAGGTGTAACCCTCACCTGTCAGTCTCACCTTATCAGCTGACCTTTGGCTTCAGGTATTAGTCATTAATGAGACTAATATAAATGTGGACGCGAAGTCTTCCCAGCCCGAGACTCTCCTTCTGATCCTTGTCCCGACAGGTAAGCAAACAGGTGATCACAGGTGACCTCCACACTTGCCTATGAGACTTTAAAGGGGGGGTGCTGCTCTTTGATGTTTTCTGTCTTCATCCTCGTTCTTCCGTCCGTCTCAGGTTCACGGTGCTGCAGAACGTCGTCTGATCTCCAGAGAGCGCCATGGCAAAACTCCTCACAGGTATTCACGCTGTCATGTTTTATCTAAGCTTTAATGTATGAGTAATTATTTTTAACATCTCCACGGCGAGACGGGAGCAAAGTGTAGAAGCTCTCCGTTACAGGACAGAGAGTTTAAACACGCTTCACTCATGAAGTCGACCGTTTAAGAGAAAAACCTTCATGAGTTTATTTTGATTTCATACTTTCATGACCCTCAGAAGTTTATTATTTCTCCAACGTCATCTGAGTCTGACACTTATTACTCAAACTACAGCAGCTTGTTTTACGTCTGACCTCAGATCTAAAATGGTGGATTTTAATAATTTATTTCTAGTTAATAATGTCCTCCTCCATCAGCTGATCTGTCCTCACCTCCTCTCGGATCAACATCGACCGCAATCTCTTGTTTTCACCTGGAGTCAGAGAAAGTCGCTCAGTGGAGGAGGCGGGTTAAAATGTATTTAAAAAGCTTTTAGTTCAAGCAGACTTAAATTCAGACCCTCGATAATCACTTCACACCTCACTGTCACACGGTACACATGGCTTGTTATTTAGGCCACGCCCACATGCGTGACATTAAGATGCAGCATTTTAAGAAGCAGAAGACGTTTTCACTTTAAAGCAACAGTATGTAATTCTGACACCTAGTGGTTAAAATGGGTACTGCAGTCTAAATTCTAAACATTGTAGAGAGCTGTCTCCCCCGCCCCCTCCTCTCTAGAGTCGATGCTCACACAGGTTGCTATGTGGTGGACACTGAAGCTTCAGTGTTTATCCAGCTCTGCATCGGTCTGTAAACCTTTCTGCGTTCTAACCTCTCTCAATTTTTCAAAAGCATCTCCAACATTGATCCTAGTTTGAGCCTCTCAAACACAGACGACAAACATAACCTGCCTAAACATCTGAAATATTTAAAATAACTTAACTAGAAAAGTCGTTTAAAAGCTTTTAAAATGATTCAGTGTGGCTTTCAAAAACTTTATTCAAACTGTTTCAATCTGTCATCATTAGTTACTGTAATGCACATCAGATTCCTGTTTTTAATGTTTATTTTCACTTCAATCTAAAAGTCTTGAGATCCTCTCTGTTTTTCTTGCAGTGCTGGGCGTTCTGCTCGTCCTGCACATGGGTAAGATCATCCTCTCTTTTCACCTGACGTATGAACACGTGCACTCTCATGTTCTCACCGCTGATCTGCTGTCCTCTCCTCAGCCACGTCCACCAAACTGGTGTGTCACATGACTAACTGGGCCCAGTACAGACCCGGAGCCGGTAAGTTCACCTCGGACAACATCGACCCGTTCCTGTGCACGCACATCATCTACAACCTGGCTACGATCAACAGCTTCAACCAGATCAGCCCCATCGAGTGGAACGATGAGCAGCAGTTCGTCCGCCTCAACGGCCACAAGAACGCGTGAGTGTTTGTAGAGTGTGAGCACACACACAGCGCTCACTGTCAGAGTTTAGAAGTTTTAGTGTAAAGCTCAGAGTCCAGCCGGGTTAAACAACATGTGAAGGTCATCCAGCGACTCCTCTGTGTCTCACAGTGTGTTCATCCTGAGGTCAGCTGTCTTTAACTGTCTTTCTCATCATGGTCGTTTACTAAATATCACTCATGCCGTTCACCGTCAGAGCCCGATCACACAGAGACACAAGCCGCTCTATAAACACCTGAGCGCATCTGGGCCAAAAACAGCTGGAAGCATCAGGGGGCGGGGCATCCGGGCGACCATATAAAATAGGTTTGGGAGAAACTCGCCTTTGCTTTTCTCTCAGACGAGGAGGGGGAGGTAAAGACTCCTCCTTCATTTGATTGGCCGCTTCAGCTAAAAGAAAGCTAAAAACACTTTGACTCTGAGTCACTGAACATGTTTTAACTTTTATGTGCGCACAAAAACCGCTAGAAAAACTCATCAAAGAGCTGTACCAGAGGGAAACAATAGTTTAACTGGTGACCTGCTGCATGGTCAAGGGTTATTCTTTGAAGTAAATGTGCCAGTTCTAAAGTCCTCCTCAGATGAATTAGTCCCAGAGAAACTGTCAGAATCATTTTGTATTTGGTGCAGGGCCACTTTGGTGCACACTTAGATTGACTCGTTTTAGGGGGTTCTTAAAATCCACCTCAGGTTTGGTGTACTGCGATAGAAAGAACCTTGATGGAAAGTCTTTGGCTCATGTTTTTCTCTTCTCTGCGGTCAGGAATCCTGCTCTGAAGACTCTGCTGTCCGTCGGAGGCACCCTGAATGGAATCAGCCCGTGAGTTTCAATCTGACCTTCTTTATCCTCGCCACACATTCAGTGCTCAGAACTCCTTCTTCTGACGCTGTATCATACATCCCAACAGATTCATCACCATGGTTTCCACGGCAACCAGTCGAGCAGCCTTCATCAAGTCAGCCATCAGCTACCTGCGAACCCACAACTTTGACGGTCTGAACCTGGCCTGGGAGTACCCAGCTCACAACGGGAGCCCAGGCACTGACAAGATGAGGTTCACCATGCTGGTCAAGGCTAGTATGGACCTCATCTTTCAACACATTTTAAATGGTGTCAAATCCAACCAATAGATGGTTGCACTTGGAAATGTTTGTGTGCAATCTCTCAGGACCGAGAGATCCTTTATTTCAGAAGGGAAAAGTAAAACCTATGGGGGTGGGGCAGCTGAAATGTCAGGGATCACCAAATTATTCACGGTCCATCCTTGGGATGTTACGAAACATTTGGGCCATATTTATTGTGATCCCTCGAACAGTTAAGATATTTCAATAAGAAACTTGGTGGTGGTAGAGGAGAGGTCAGAGGAACAGTGAAATCTGTGGACCATGAATGTCTGTACAAAATTGGACTGTAAATTACGTCATACTTATTGAGAAGTTCACAAGTCCGGCTTCCATTTTATTCCAACCATAAACCTGCGACTATGAATGTCGATATATAAAGCGATGAAGACCGAACAAAGCTGTGTGGATCATGATGATCCCGGGTCTTCTTCAGAACCTGTGTGGTTTCAGTAGCAGATCGGATGAGAGGTCTGAGGTGGCTTTTGGTTGTTCTGTCTGCAGGAGCTGGTCAAAGCCTTTGAGGATGACGCCAAAGACACCAGAAAGACTCAGCTGCTGCTGTCTGCCACCGTCGCTGGTTTCATTCCCACCATCAACGCAGCCTACGAGGTCAGGGATATTTCAGCGTAAGTTTGATTTCACTCAACGGTATTCTTAAAGGTGTTGGTTCTGGTAATCCAGATCCTGTGGATCAGGGTGTCCTTAACAGGGAACTAGAATCCACTGATTGGTAAGAGCTTTGGTTGAATAAAGTCCATCGATATCTCGATAAGCCTCTCATGGTGTAGGTGACATCACGTTTACCCGGAACTATTAAACCTACCAGTTTACATGTTGTAAATTCTGTCCACTCTGCTGATCTTTAAATCTCTCCACCATCAACAGTCAGCTTGACTTCATAAACGTCATGACCTATGACTTCCATGGTCACTGGGAGGCAGCGACGGGACACAACAGCCCTCTGTACCGCAGTTCTGTGGACACGGGCTCACATGTTCACCACAACATTGTAAGACCACCCACACCTCCATCACCAACCTTCAATGTAAATATATGAAACGGTATTCACACTGATCGTCTTTGTTAGAACTCTTCTATTGCACACTGGATCGCTCTGGGAGCTCCTGCTGAGAAGCTGCTGCTCGGTGTCGCCACCTACGGACGAACCTACCGCCTCACCACCTCTGCTAACGGCCTGGGAGCGCCATCTAACGGCCCCGCAGACGCTGGACCCTACACTCGCACAGCTGGATTCTGGTCCTACTATGAGGTAAGTCAGTATGAACCTAATAACTGTGACTGCACCACTGGTGATACATGTGCAGTTTAAATGCAACCCATTACTAGATCACTGACCCACAGAAGACTAGAAAAAGTGCTACACAAGCTCCAGTCCACTTACCATTCCTGGTCTGTAATGGACATGTCAGTAATGAAAGAATGTTGAGTTTATTGTCAAAGGTTTAAGACCGTGAAGATGGTTCATCCTAAGCTCTGTGATGTCGAATTGGACTTGCAGAGTCTGTGTTTCTCACTCCATGATAAGGCTTTTAATGTCAGATTTGACCCGGTTAACGTGGCCCATCCCAAAAGATGCTTCATCATAATCCCGTGTTGTTCGATCTAACTCAGCAAAGACGGTCCAATCCGAGCCCTGGGTTGTCTGATCTAACGCTGTTAATACATATATTTTTTGTCCCAAGGCCCTGCAGAGGTCTTAGAAAGCCATGTGATGTCTAACTCAGTGAAGATGGCAGACGCTTTTATCTAAGCGACATACATCAATCTTTCATAATGGTCATGTTCATCATTATGCAGATGACACGGTCTTGTTAACATTTAAACCTGATTTACATCAAATACAATCTTCTCTTCAATCCAACAATGATTCATACATGTTTTCAGATCTAACTCTGGTTCTTTCGGTCACCAGGTCTGTGAGTTCATCTCCTTTGCTACTGAGCATTGGATCCCTGAACAGGAGGTTCCTTACTCCACCGCTGGCAGCTCCTGGGTGGGCTATGATAACCTGCACAGCCATTCTGCCAAGGTAACCAAGAGTTTCACTCAGACAACTCATTTACAAACATCAAGTCGAGTTTCCTTCTCCGTTTATACTTTGTCTTTTAGTGTTTTTATTCATCATTCTGTCATTGACGATGTCCTCTTGTAGGTCGAGTGGTTGACTGACAAGAATCTTGGAGGTGCTCATGTTTGGACTCTGGACATGGACGACTTTGTAGGAACCTTCTGTGCAGGTGGAGCGTATCCTCTGGTCAATGCCCTCAGGCGGACAATGGGTAAGTAACATTTGCATTCATTCTTAGTCAGCTGGTCGATCAAATCGTCCCGCCTTTTCATTGAGAAGTTAACGTTTCCTTTCTGCAGGTTTCCCACCAAAGCCCACCACCACCCCAGCCCCCACCACCACCAGGGATCCCGTTGCTGAATTCTGCCGTGGTCGCCCCGATGGCCTGTATGCGAACGAGGCTGATAAGACCACCTACTTCCAGTGCTTCCAGGGGAACACATACCTTCACCGCTGCCAGCCGGGCCTCATCTACTGGGACTCCTGCAAGTGCTGCAACTGGCCATGAGCCCCAGAAACCTGATCCACCAACTCACAATGAGTCCATCAGTCTACCCAGAACCATCAGTGAGAGTCAGAGTCAGCATGCTCTGATTAACTTCATGGTGCTGGATCACTGCTAAATGCTTTATCTAACTCAATAAACCAAAACTGATCTCAACTCACCTCGCCTGATTCCTGTCTCATTCCTGTCTCTAGTGAATGTAAACGTTTTCCACACATATTCCGTAAATATTACTGAGTGGTTCATTGATTCATATATGTTCTCTGAAAGACATATATGAGAATATAACAGGTATCAGATGCAAGTCTATAAACACAGACACTGACAGTAAGTGTAGAGTATGTATTTCTGTTTGACACACCATACGTTAGATAGAAACCAAGTTTTTGTTTTCATGCTCATAAGAGTCAATACTCCTTCATTCCAGAAGGGGGCGGTAATGTACCCAAGACTGTTTCGTAACTTTTTGGCAAGACATCTTAAAAGGTACCTCCACACCAAGCAGCAAACTCCAGTGTTGGAAAATAAAACCAACGTATAAAATTCTGCAGTTCCCCGAGTGTCCACTACAGGCTGGCTGCAGAAGCACTGGAAGTCACATACACACCCATTTTACAGCAGAGATTGTGGAAGAAGATAGGCCCGCAAACTTGCTCAAATGCATTAAAAAGGTTTAAATGATCACAACGGGCGTATGTGCGGGCCTATCTTCTTCCTCAGTTTTGCTGTTTTTGCACAGCCCTGCACCTACGTGATGTGCATATAACTACCTCTTTTTACAGCAGACATTAACATGTTTACAGCCTGGTTCAAAACACAAGTGAGGTCTCTGTAGCTCCTGTCTTTATCAGCAAATATAAGCTGCAGGGACACTCAGGACAGGTCGTCCCAGCACATGGAACATGACATGAGAGAGGGAGAAAGAGAGTTACTTGCTGGCTGATGTTAGCAAATGTTATTCAGGTGTTGCTACATTTTTATCTATACCCAGTTTGTGTTGCTCAGTACAATGCAAAAAATTAAATGAAATAAAATAAAGTGAAATAATGATTATAGTAGTTAAAACAGCTCCACTTTAAACATTTTAGGTGTAAAATTCCACATGCAGTAATATCAAGAAATAGGCTATATACTGTATATATAAAAAAACTGTTGTGCTTTTACTTTTTAAAGTTTTGGTAACGTTACAGCTTTCTGATAATACTTACAAACTTTGAAGACTTTGAATACAGAAGTTACATTTGTAGTGGTGTATTTTCATTATTATTTGCGCAGTAAGTTAATTACTGCTTAATTTAATTAAGATTATTGACTTTCCGCGTACTGATTGTTTTGGGCCAGGGCTGTTTTGTAGTCCCAGTCCGTCCCTGTTAGTGGATATTTCATCCAGTGAGAATGGCGTCCTCTTGGCGGCATGATAACGGCATGAAGGTGATATGATTCCAGTCTTACTGGTCTGAGATATTAAACCAGTGTTACATCACATCACCTTGGCAACCAGTCTAATGAGCGTATTGACTTCAGAAATAATGCTGTGCAGGCGTTTCTTCTGTCGCAGTTATCAGTCCTATTTATATTTACGATATCTTTGAGTACGCTCTGCTGAGGTCAGAGTGAAGTCTGCAAGTCTGTTCTCATGGTCAGGGGCGTCAGAGCTGCTGTAGTCCCAACCATGTTTTTAAAATCATTCTGTAGTGACTATCTAATGTCCAAATTTCTTATCTTCCTTTTAGTCGCTTGCATAGGTGTATGGAAAGTTCTTGACGCGTAAAAAATAAATAAATGTCCAAAATTAAATTACTTTCTGATGTTCCAGTTTATTGTCACAAATGAAGCAGGGCGGGGGGGTGTTGTTCAGGCAAGCCGTCCATCAACGATCTCGAGGAGCCTATGAGAGCTCAAGAGCTCCCAGGAAAGTAGGCAGTTAGTGATTGAGATTTACAGATAGATACATGCAGTAATATGATGTACTGTATATGCACAGAGAGAGAGAGAGAGAGAGAGAGAGAGGAGCTCAAGGTGCCAGTTCCCCCGGTAGTCTAAGCCTATAGCAGCATAACTAGAAGCTGGTCTACAGCAGCACCAGCCCTAACTATAAGATTTATCAAAAAGGAAAGTTTTGGGGACTTCCGGTAATGGCGGACAGGGAGTAGACGTGTTTACCTTCCGTTCCCGCAACTTCTAAAAACTTTTATCATTTCAACCCCAAACGCTGTTTTGATTTTACACAAGTTTACCCCGATACGACTTACTAACTCAGGACCACACGAAGAAATGTCATCTAAAGCCTCCAAGCAGACTAAGAAAGATCCCCCGCCGTAAGAGGAGACCGTAGCTAGCGACGTTAGCATGGCTGGGCTAACCAGCTTGCTAGAGAGTCACAAGGATGCTCTTTCGACAGAGTTCAAGACCACCATCTCTGCCCTCGAGTCCAAAATTTATCTGGTGCAAATGACAGTGTCTGACCATGGGCAGAGAATCATTTCCTCACTGTTCAGGTAATGACATAATTTATCGGACCATGTCTGTGAATGGTAGAAACAGCCGGTTCATTTCCTGGAACGTTAAAGGGATGAACAGTGCCACTAAAACCAACAAGGTAATTTCACACTTACAACATCTCAGGGGGGACCTCAGCTTTTTACAAGAGACGCATCTCCGCACCTCAGCTATTTCTCGCATCAAATGGGCCACATGTTTCATTCCAAGTTTTCAGAGAGGGCGAGAGGGGCAGCTATCATCATACATAAGGATATTGCTTTTGAACCAAATACCATTATATCCAATCCAAATGGCAGATACGTTATAGTGCCAGGCATACTACAGAACACCCCTGTGGTTCTGGCCTCAATTTATGCTCCAACGTGGGATGACAATAAATTCTTATCCAAATTATTTTCCTCTATACCTCATCTTAGTGATCACTATATTATTATTGGAGGCGACTTTAATCAGGTTCAGAACATGGAGCTGGATAGGTAATCAACTAATCGATCTAACACATCCAAATCGGCCAGTGTCTTAAAATTTCATGCAGACCAACTGGGGTTGATAGACCCGTGGAGAACTGGATTCCCTTCCAGTAAAGTCTTCTCATTCTTTTCACACATTCATCACATGTTCATCACACGTATTTGCGAATAGATTTCTTCTTGCGGGATAACAAGCTGCTCAACAATACTCTCTCTTGTGACTACCACAGTATAGTCATCTCCGATCATGCCCCAACATCTGTAGAAATAATTTTCCTCGGAGCAGACCACTCTCAAAATTCTGGAGATCTAGCTCACTACACAGATTATTTTTTTCTTTGAAACAAACGACACTCCTGATGTTGGCAGTGATATACTTGATGACCTGTATTCGGCCAATCTTTCTTCCTCACTTTACAAAAAGCGGCTCCAGCTTCAATCTCAATTTGATTTGTTGTCCACTGGTAAGGTTGAGAGGCAACTCCTTCAACCCAAGCAATGTTTTTTTGAGCAGGGAGATAAGGCGGGAAAACTGCTTGCTTATCAAGTGCGGGTGGCTAGGGCCTCCAGACTGATCCCCAAAATAAAATCACCTTCAGGTGAAATTACAACGGACCCTATGGAAATTAGCAATATCTTCTCAAACTTATATTCTAAATTGTATTACCCCCAAGTTGACGGAGGAGACTCAGGTGGCATGGGCGCACCCATAACCATATCTGAAGTGACAGAAGCAATTAAATCCTTACAAACCAGTAAATCACCTGGTCCGGACGGCTTTACCACAGAGTTTTATAAATCCTTTCACACTGTACTCGCTCCATTCTTGGTGAGGGTATTTAATGACGCCTTTCTGAAAGGCCACTAACCACTGACATTATCAGAAGCCTCGATCTCTCTGTTGCTAAAAAAGTATAAGGACCCTCTCTCCTCTGTGGCAGCTACAGGCCAATTTCCCTACTGAATGTAGACTTTAAGATACTAGCTAAAGTCCTGTGTTGCCATCTCCAGAAGGTCATTCCGGCCCTTATTGACCCTGATCAGACCGGCTTTATCTCAGGAAGACAATCATTTTTTAACACTAGAAGGCTGCTCAACATAATTTTTTCCTCCACTAACAGCTCACCTGGAATTGTGCTCTCTCTGGATGCCAAAAAAGCATTCGACAGAGTGGAGTGAAAGTATTTGTTTTTCATCCTTGAAAAATTTGGCTTCAGCTCTGATTTTGTTTCATGGATCAAACTCCTTTATACATCCCCGCTAGCTGCTGTCAATATCAATGGCATAAAATCTGGCCTATTCCCACTCTCCCGCGGTACACGCTAAGGGTGTCTGCTGTCCCTGTTACTGTTTGCTCTGGCCGTTGAGCCCTTAGTCATATGGCTTCGTAAAGAGGAGAAGTTTGAGGGTATTACATGTTTCATTCTTTCCCATAAGCTGTCTTTATATGCGGACGACCTTTTGCTTTATATTTCGAACCCAACATCCTCTCTTCCCACGATCTTAGACATCCTGGATCAATTTTGGAAACTTTCTGGTTACAAACTAAACCTCCAGAAGAGTAAATACTTCCCTATTAATTCACTTGCGGAAATGCTTCCCCAAACTTTTTTTGCCTTTTAGAAAGGTCACAGAAGGATTTAGATATCTAGGGATCTCCATCACAAAATCGTTTACAGAACTCTTTGCTAAAAATTTCCGTCCATTATTGGATCGTTGCAAATCGGATTTAACCAGGTGGTCTAGTCTCCCTCTCTCTCTATTGGGACATGTGAATCTAATCAAAATGGTGGTACTGGTAATGGTGGTGCCTTTCAGCACATTCCCATATTCATCCTCACTGGATCAACTGATCAACTTATTCATATGGAGTAGTAAAAGAGCGCGTATTAGGATGACAGTTCTCCAACTCCCCAAGTCTGAGGGAGGCCTGGCTTTACCAAGTTTCCGCCGATATTATTGGGCCTGTAATATCAACAAGCTTTTTTTTGGAATGCTAATGTGACATGGGGCGAACAACCCCAGTGGGCCCTGATGGAAACATCCTCTTCACGTCTCTCGCTTTGGTCTGTGGTTTGCTCCCAGCTTCCCCTTCTGATTAGGTTTAGCACCAGACCTGGTCAAACAGAGGTCTCCAGACTCTTAACGACCTCTATCTTATGTTGTTTTTTTCCCCGTTTGCAGATTT